CGTGTTTAGTGTCCATTTAATTAAGCTTGCGCTCTGCCAGATGGCGAGTTAGCGAGTTAATCACCATCCGATCCGTGCTCCTTTGTGTCACTTTTCCCCGTCTTTCTTCTACAAATAATGGTCCTTGTCCTTGATGATGTTCTGATTAGCCGGCGCAGTTAGCTTGCCTTTTCGATTCCACTCCTACTTGAGCGTTGAGCCCATACGTTTGTTGGCTGTTGCAAATAAAAAATTTGGTGTTAGGGTAGGTACGGGTATATGCTAGCTACCGTCTCGGAGACTATTTGACGTGCATTACCTAGGGTGGGACGTGATGGTTTTATCGGCGCTTTTTTTTTGTTTGGTGTGATTAGTAGGACTCCGGTGATTAGATCACTTTTTTAGTTAAGACATGAAGCACATGAAAAAGCGAGCTCCCGTGATTTTTCTTTCTTTTTTATGCTCCTTGAGGATATTTTTTCTTTTTTGAAGGACAATCCAACAAGGATATTCTTTTTTAGAAAAAAAGGAGATTATGCTTATTCTAGAAGCTTGGGAAAAGCCCCGGAGATCGGTTACATAGAGTGGAAAGTGCAGCCACATGCAACTATGCAAGGAGCAAGAGAGATTTGCAGTAAATACTTAAAATTCGCACCAAGTCTCCGTGTATAAGGCATGTTATTATTTTTACTCCCTCCATCCTAGGTTTGTTATGCTCCACTTTATGTCCATCCTTTATGAGAGTACGTTTGTCCTGACTTTTGTCCTGACTTTACGCGTGGCGCTGACTGCTTAGAGATAGCCTCAATTGACTGTGCAGGCATCAGAACCCTAGCAGTCATGTTCCCACGAGGGAACGGGAACGTAAACTTGGGTGATATTTTATAACGTGGAAACGTAAATGTCGTCGTATCAGGGATGCGGACGTTTCCGGAACGATGTTCCTGTAACGTGAGTACGTGACCATGTTGCACGCTTCCGGCCGCTAAGATCAAAATAGCTCTAGAACTGGTGAAGAAACTCCACTAAACGGATCCTTAGACAGAGAATTCTTATCAGGACAAGAATAACTGAACTAGCAGTAGCCTTCATCTCACACGACGAACGATAGCGATTACTCCCTCCATCTTAAAAAAGAATATAATTATGAGATCCCTACCGATTAAATAGTTTAAGTTTAACCAAATTTATAGTAAATAATATTAATATTTATATATTCAAATAAATTTATTATAAAAATATATTCTATAACTAATCTAATAATACTAGTTTTGCATCGGTTAGTATTTTTTATATAATCTAGTTAAAGTTCAGATTGATTAACCTCTACTGATTAACCTTTTGGGAAGCGAGAATTGTGTTCTCTCGTGGAAGAATGGAGTACTTCTATCTATTCCGAGATCAGACGGGGGTTGTTTACTTGTTCGGAAATGCTAATTTCTGAACGCGCAGGCGATGAAGCTTCGGCGCGCACACCTCGAGGACCGTCCGATGCGCACGGGGAAGAAGGAGACCGCCCGATTCGCCGCGCTAGCGCCTGCCCAAAGCTCGCCGTCCGCGTCTGCGCCCATGCCGCTCCCGCGCCCACCCTCTCTCTTCCCCACCTCCGGCGGCGCCTAGGGTTTCGGAGGCCGCACCCCACCCTTCTTCCCCAACTCCGGCGGGGTATAGAAGGGCCGGCCGGGGGGAGGCAGGTAGGCCAGACGGTGGGGAAGATCGACGGGCGGTTTAAGGGAGCTAACGGCGGTCGTGGCGGCCAGGCTAGGTCGGGGCGGGGGCGCCATGGCCGGAGTTCGTCGGAGCTCACCGGAGTTCGCCATGGCAGCATGTAGGAGAGGCGGGAGGGAGGGGGAGGGGGAGGGGGAGGAGGAGGTCACCGCCGACGGTAGCGGCGGGGGCGGTGGGGGTTGCTTGAGGCGGAGGCACTCACCGGCTGGAGCTGGATCGGGGCGGGGTGAGAAGGTCGCGGCCACGCGGAGGAGGAGGCGGTGGTGGGGAGGGCTGAAGGAGGAAGACGATGCGGGCACAAAGAAGATTGGGGGAGGAGGCGTGCGCTCGCCTGCACACACACACGCTCTAGTAAAGTCCTTGCTGGTTTGTTTCGGTCAGTAGCAACGCGCGGAGGAGCCGTCCTCGATCCGGATGTACCAACGCTCGAAACGAAACGAGACAGATTTGGGTAAACGCTGAAACGCCAAAAGAGGCAGGTCGACCATCGATGGCGCTGGGTTCGGCCGAGCGCCCCGGCCCCCGGCCAGCTCATCGAAACGCCAGGGGGGCCGCGGAAGGCTAGCTCATCGAAACGCCAGGAGGCGGCGCGGGTCCCGCGCCTCCGTTGCAGCAGTGCGGTGCGGGGGGCAGTCTCGTCATTTGCTCCGTCGTTGCGTGTCCGCGGGCCCCGCTGTGCGCGCGTGCCGAGGACAGCGCCAGCGACAGCGATGGCCCAGCGGACTGCCGGAGTGCGGACGGCGACGGACGTCCCCACCCACGCGTCCCTTGCGGTGCGGGAACGGGGACCACGCGGGGCGACGTGGCCGGCCCCGCCGCGGCTGCTGGAGCGGGCGCGACGGCGACGGACGGGGCTGCGCGGGGCGGGCACGTGACGGCAACTCGGCGTGGCCGCTGGCCGGTCGTCCCTCCTGGCCTCAAGCTCTCTGCCGCGCGCGGGTGTGGGTTAGGTGCTGCTGTCTCGTGGCGGTTTTGAAGAAACGACGAGTACCGCGCCTGTCGCTGTGTTGCAGCCATTGACGCAGGCGTTTGGAACATGCTGCCTTGCCTTGCATTGCCTGTTGCCTCGCCTTTTGTATCGGAGACTAAAGATCTGCTCAATATGCTTCTACTATACTCCTACTAAACTACTACTACTACTACAGTGCTCTACATGAGTTTGGAAATTTGGTTTCGGTGATTCGGTCTCCTGCGGCGCTTTTGAGCCTTCAGAGTACTAGTTCATTACAACATCATAGCGTCCTTTTTTTTCTGAGTTGGTATCCACTCACGAAGCTGGAAGGTTATCTGGTGAGATGCCACCTTTTATGAAATGTCGAAGAGGCAAAGAGCAGCCACTCCTACCGTTTGTGGGATAGTGGATACATACGGCGTGCGTATGAATAATGTACTCCTGTACTTCTAGAGAGATCGGGGTTTCAGATTGAAATGGACGGTTTTTGTATAGTACGGGTGCAAGTACGCACGGTAGCTTTTCTCTAGACTAGTGAAAACGTACATCAAGATGTGCATGCTCTCCTCATCTCCTGTGCACAGAACCGTTGAGAGAGGAATCAGGAATGGCCTTGAGAAGCGTCATGCCTATCCAGTGGTATATGTGCTGGACTGCTAGTGGCAATTGGCGACGATGCCCTTGCCCTGTACCGAGCTACTCCGTACTCAGTTGACCGGCAAGTGAAAGTATAGTTGAGCGGCCATCGAAACGCCAGCAGAGTTCATCGAAGAAGCAAAGTAATGAACTGAACTCTGCTTTTTCGGGTCTCCTCCTGTTGTAGTGTAGCTATTCATTCGTAGATTTGGACGGCCCAAATGGACAGCTGGAAAGAACAGGGACTTGGGTTGGATAGCAAGCTCGGCAGCTTATTGGGCCGGCAGCCTGGCCCGTTCAGGTGCTCTCTCGCTCGTCAATTCGTCGGCCGTGCTTGGTTTTCTTCTGGTATGAGCAGATGAGCTGCCTCATCTTGCTGGGCAAAGTCAGACGAGTACGAACCTCGTTTGCTCAGCAAACTCGCGCAGCCGAGCAAATTGAGCTCGCACCACGGTCTGGACCAAGCTCTGCCTGAGCCTCCCAGATCGAGCTTTGCCGGCATCATGCATGCACATGGACCAAACACAACAGTTATGGCAAAACTTGCTTGGCTTTGACAGGAAAGGCAAGACGAGATGGGCAGGCGAGGTAAACCAGGCAAAGGAACCAAGCATGCCTTGCGAGGAAACATGGAGACAAGCGTTTGCTCTTTGAAAGAGCGGAACCACAGGCCATTGTCATCCCTTCTTTTTATGCAAACAAATCCAACGGGTTCAAGCTGGACTAATCGACCACAACGGATCACGGGACGCCATTGCCGCCATCTCTCCCCGTCTCCCAGCCCAGGCAAGGCAGCCATCTCTCTGCTTTGGAGCTGGAGACTGGAGTCTGGACAAGAGGCAAAGCAGGTCAGAACCACAGATCCCAATCCCCGCCAGCAACACAGTCTGATGGTGGAGGGCTGGGGGCGCCTGCCATTAGCGACCGAGCGTCCGAGCCCACAGCTCTGCCTCTGCGCCGCGCAGCCGCAAGACGACACCGAGGCTAGATGACCGGTTGGTGTCACGTACACTACGCATGCCTGCACTGCACCCACTGAAGTACTGAACTGAGCTCTGAGCCCTGAGCTCGACCGGCCAAAGCCGCTGCGCGTGCCCGCGGTCCCGCGCGCACAGCGCCGAGCCGAAACGACGCGCCCCCGCCTGCCCGCGTCCGTGCTGCTGCAAAATGGGCTCTGCCGCTCTGGCTAGCGCTGAAGACCAAAATGCTGCCGCCTCACGGTCACGGGTCACGGCCGAACCACCACCACCACCTCGCAGTCAGGCACTCGCCTCGCCTAGCAATAACATGCCTCCCTCCTTGCCCCTTTCAAACGCGAACGCGAGCGGTTTCCCAGGCGACGGAGGGAACGAAAGGGACGCCACGTCGTTTCAAAAATCATGGCATGCGAGGCAACGGTCGCCTAACCTAACACTCGTACTCCTTCCTCCAGGAAGCAGCTCGCAGCGGCAACAGTGGCCGGCAGCGAGTGTCACACTGTCACGCTCGAACACACACTGACACCGCACAAGGACCTGCCGCTGTTGGTTATTTGACTCCTTTTGTCCCCGCCGCGCCGCGCGCATGGCCCCTCCCCTCTCCCTCTCTTTATAAGCAACACACAACGGCGGCGTCGGCGAGTGTGGGAAGTGGCGGCAGTCAGCTCCTCTGAGCTCTGCAGTGCGCGCGAGCGCGACAGGCCGGGGTGCTGCCGTGGTGGTGGGAGATGGCGACCGTGCCGTTGCCGTGGCCGCTCGCCGTGACTGTGAGCGTGAGGAGGTCGCTGCAGGAGGGGGCCGCGGGCGCGGCGTCGTACGCGCAGGCGCAGCGGTCCCCGCAGCAGGGTGCGGCGCGGTCCGCGACCACGGCGAGGTCGGTGGAGACGCTGGTGGTGATCGTGGCCGCGATCGTGCTCGCCGCCGTGCTGGCGGGCGTCCTCGCCCGGGTGTGCGGCGGTCGGCACGTCATGCCGAGCGCCGAATACCACGAAGAGGAAGGCTGGGTGGAGAGGCGCTGCCGGAGCTGCCTCGACAGCGGGCTGCCGCCGCCGCCGCCGGCGGCGCAGGGGTCGTCAAAGACGAGTGAGGCCAAATAGTGTCTGTTGATTACTTGTAGTGCTGCTAGCCTAGTAGCCTGCTGCGTACTACTGTAGTGCTGTAGCTGTAGCATAGTAATACTAGCGTTTGTGTATGCATTATTACTGCAGGCTGCTTAAAGTGCTTATCAGCGTATGCAAAGGTTGTGTGTAATTAGAACAGCCGGATGCCCGGATCTGTCAGCTAGCTAATTTGTACACGAGAGTGGTACGAGGCTAGGACATCAGGCATTAATCATCGTTGTAATATTTTTGTACCGATAGATTAGTAGCAAAGTAAACTTACTTAACGAGAGTACTTATAGTGAGAGAAGTACCCTATAAATACCATAGCCAGTTGAATTTTGTTAGCGCAATTCTGCAGGGGATACGTACTTTCTCCTATCACAGATATGTAAGTTGTCCTTAAGTCATCTTGTTCAATTAAATTCAATAATAATTTGTATTTATACAAATCTTCTATGATCAACTATATATTTTTTTTATATTGATTGTCAAAACTAAAAATGCTAACTTAAGACAAATATAGATAGATTTACTACTATATGTAAAATGGGAGTTAGTACGAAATCTGTTCGAACGACTGGGCAACAAATCTGTGCGCTTCGGTCGACCATTTTGCTGTTGAGGTCGCAGAATGAAAGAGTAAGTTATCTGAATCACCGAGGCAAACGACCGAGAATCAAGTTCAGTGTCATCGTGAATCCCATATGCCAACTATCCATCGACGATGGGTCGATGGTACTACCGGATAATTAGACCAAAGACCGATTGGTACTACCAGATAATCCGTGCGACATTGTTGCAATGAACCCAAACATCACTGTAACACCAATGCCAAGGCCCCGTTTAGTTTTCAAAAATTTTGCCTCCTACACTAAAAGAGTATGTTTGACACATGCATGGAATATTAAATGTAGACGAAAAAAAACTAATTGCACAGTTCTCGACAAAATCGCGAGACGAATATTTTAAATCTAATTAGTCCATGAAAAGCCTTAAGTACTACAGTAACCCACATGTGCTAATGACCGATTAATTAGTACCATTAGATTTGTCTCGCAATTTCTTGATGGGTTCTGTAATTTGTTTTTTTTTATTAGTATCAAAAAAACCCTCCCGACATTCTTCCGACACATTCGATGTAACAGCCAAAATTTTTCACCTCCCCAACTAAACACACCCAAATGACAATTTTCTCATAGGGAACCTGATTGATATTAACACGACGTGCTAACGGCTTTACAATAGGCACATTACCCAGTAGAGTTCAGTCGTTTCTTACTTTTACAACCACGACTCCAAGCCAAGCTTAGAAACGATCCATTCGCAAGGCAAGATAGCTTACAGCCTTCCACCCCATAAGCGTTTCACTGATACAGAGGGAGAGAAAAGGTCAGCCTCTTGAAAAGGTCAGTCAACCTTATGAGGGTAAATAAGCTTTGCAGTTACTTACCTCAGGATAGCAGTCCTGATGTACTATGGTTTCGTTGTGTGGATTAACATGCACCACGCCATGCACCACGCAAGATATTCTCCCCTGCAAGAAGCCAAGAACAATCATTAAAGGATTCAGAAGTACTACACGTGGATCACACTGCAAGCAAAGAACCAATAACGTGCACTCTTGGTCAATCTTTTAACCCTAATATTCATCAATCTTTTGTTTAGTGCAACAATAAATTTTGACTCAACTGGAAAAACAACTCTAGCTTGTGAGAGCTACAGACACTGGTGGAACTGTTATTCACATAATTGTCTGTTTGCTTATAAGAAATTTGAATACAGTATACAAGAACAAATAAAGTAACAATAACAACCCAACTTAGGAATTTGACGGATAGCCATTAGATCAATGAAACCATGAACATTCTTGCAGTCATACAATATTACCGGTTTATCACCACAGAGCTATGTTAATAAACCACCTATTTTACAGCAATATAGTAACACAAATACACACATAGAAGTACTGTTCTAACATGTGAGACCAAAAAAGGGTAGAATGAAAAGTTGAAAAGTAGCTCCATCAGAAAATTTTCTAATTTCTAGGATATTTGCATTTTTTTTTAATAAAATGAAGAACCAGGCCTATTGCAATGGAGATTACACAATGAAAACTTCGCACTGGTCACCAGTCAATGTAATCAGTGGAACTAAACTAACCATGGCACAGGATTATACATAGGTTTAATATGACCTGCTCCTCTACAGCCTAATCCTGCAACAATATTCTGGAGGAGAGAAAAAAAAGGAAGATTTGTTGTTTCATGGCTAAAATAGCTATGTCCTCTTGTTGCAACTATAAGCCAAAACAACTATATCCAAATGCAAAAACCAAAGTCAGTAGGCAACTTGGCATGCTTTATATCCATCAACATTGCTTAAGGCATTACTTAACAAATTAAGATGGTCACTTCATATTTTATTCTAGCAGATAGCTCATCAAGGAATTAAACAAATTACTTTCACCAGTAGTCCAGCACCAAACATATCTTTACAGAACAAGGAGAAAGAACTTTCTGTGAACATCAAACAGGGCATGTGAGGAGTAGATGCCACACTGAAGCTTGAGCATCTCTAGCTTTATGGCAACGACGGAGAAAAACTGAAAATAACAACCTGTCTTAGACCTGGCGAGAACCTGGCATGGTTTAGGGAGCCAAACTAGCACTTTATCATTGCCAGGAGATAGGTAGCTTTCAGGAAAACCGAAGACAGGCTAACCTTGGGAGAACTTTCCCTGAGTTCCTACTCCTACAGAGAACACAAGGCATTGAGAATTGTTATTTCTATGCGTTCGATAATCCTGACACTTGACGGTGAGATTGTTAGATGATAAGGGGATGGGGGAAAAGAGGCTAGTTGCCCCATCAAGGTTTTGTAATGGAAACATGCCAGCAGGACTGATAGGACTATCCACAATCAATATAAATCTTATTGAAATGTTTTGATTTGTTCATGCATACTTTGAAAACTCCCTCAGCTATAATATCATTTTAGACAATCTTGACTTTAGAACTTCAGATTGTCCTCCATGCATGCTACACTGCTTTATTTGTTCTATGAGACGATAGTTTTCCTAAGTTACAAAATGATGCAAGGGGTATAGAAGTGGAAAGTGCAAACGACAGATTTCATTAACTAACAGTCTTTTCCTTTGAGCAGAAAGCCTTCATTTGGGCATAAAAAAAAACAATATAGCCTCCATGCCAGTAGTTCCATAAATCCATACAGAAGCGGTACCAGGAAGGGATACAATAAACTTTCAAGTCTAGGAATTGAGAAATGATAATAGTTAAAGACACAAGAAACATGTGAAATGTTGACAAGTATTATTATTCTTATGTGTTGTTAGATCCATCACTCTTACTTGGTGTCCCTTAATGATTGCAATCTATTATTGTAAATCAGTCACTTCAGCCAATGATTAAACATGGAGTCACTTCAGCCAATTGATTAAACATGGAGACAGAAAATTCAAACAACAGAAGCCAATGCCTTCGTAATAATAGGATAACATTTTTGTTTCAAATTCATTAAGAAAAGTCAAACAAAGGATGTGTTTGATGACCATCCATTCTTACAGAGGCAACAGACTAATGCCCTGTTGACTTGGCTGATAAGTCATAGCTAAAAGTACTGTTGGCTTATTTATTGTGAGAGAAAAATATTGTTCGTTGACGGAAAAGTACGGCTTATAAGCCAAGCGAATAGAGCGTAAATTACCGTGACATCTTCAAAAACAAAATAAAAAAGGGTGTACCTAGTGCAGAGAACTCCCGCTCTGTGCGGGGTCTGGGAAAGGGTGTCAGTGGCAAGCCTTACCCTCGCCTGTGCAATGCGAGGAGACTACGACTCGAACCCGGGACCTTCCGATCACGACTCTACCGCTTGCACCAGGCTCAAATCGCTTGTCTATGCGCTTGTGTCACCATCCGACTTCTATTATGCGTACCTCCATCGATTCATCTACTACCGTGGGCATACCCCTCGGTAGACTGCCGACCATATTTCGTCGACAACAGCACAATGACAGCTTCAGCAGCAGCAACATATGGCGTAAATGAACGCGATGTTGAAGCAGCGACACAACACACAGGTGGCCTATTGACGGTCCATGGGATACAATCCCGAACCGTAGGAGACGAGCTAGCTTGGGGAGGACCCGCAGAAGTAAGTAGTATCTTTTATTTTCAACATTTTAATTTTCGCATTATTTATTTTCTACATTTATTTAATTATTAGCATTTAAAAAATCAAAAATATAAAATCCAAAAAAATAAAATATGATAAAAACAACAAAATTCCACTCTCATATGTGATTTAAGAATTTTTAGTTTCTCCTATGTTAAAATGATGAATGGTTGCTCTGTCTATGATTCATTTGTGCCTAAGTTTGGGTGCTTTGTCGATGACAGGTGACGGCATGACGGGTGGATAGCGATCTCTTGTGGAACGCAGTCGCGCTACGCGCTGGCGATGTCGAGAAGAACATTTCGTTAAGCAATTAGTGGTTCACAAGACAAATCTTTACACGCAGCTATATATAAACCAACAATTCGAAATATTTTCGTCATAAATGCTTATGCAAATAGTGTCATTTAGATTTTGCCCTGTTCACTTCAACCTGTCAGCCTGACTTATCAGCCATGGTATATTATTTTTCTCTTATAATAAAACAGCATCGGTCGGTTTATCAGCTGCAAAAACAATCAGCCGAACAACTTGTTTGTTTCAAGTTAAAGTATCTTGTGTTTGACTATTTAAAAAAATAACAGCATGACTCACATAATCCAACCTACCGCGCCAGACTCGCACTCAAAGTCAGAGGCCTCCCGCGCGGTCTCACCTCCGGCGACGATGCCCGCCACCACGAGCTCGCATTCGTCCAGCCCCCCTACTCATCCCGCTTCCTTCTCCTCCCCGCACCGTGCGCATCCGCCTACCGTGGCCGCTCCACGAGCCGGCGAGCCTCCACGATGGATCCTCCAGCAAGC